ATTTTCAAATCAAACTTATTTCCTACCACTTGCAAAAACCACGCCGAATACCCTTATAAAGGTATTCGCACCGACAACACACTCTTAGTTATGGTGGGCTTCAACAAATAAAAAAAGTTATCAGGTCTTCAACAAATAGAAGAAGTTCTACAGTCTCAATTGTTTGACTACAATAGTAGGAAGCTTAGTTTTCACTCTTATATGTGATATTCATTCTTGTTTTACTCATGGATTGAGATTTACCAACTCTCGAAAATCTAAGTTTTTTTTTACCACATTGCCTACTTTACCTTTCCACGTAAACCTTAACGTGATGAATTAAGGATTTCATTAATTGTTCAATTTAAGAGCGTGATGAAGGACGAAGTTTATGATTATCCGCTTTGATCATGCCACTAGGCATTTGATTAAGTATTGGACAATGATTCAATGTCTTTGTCGCATTTCTTCAATGCATTGTACAATGGTTCGAAATTTTTGTCGCATTTCTTCAATGCGAACACAATAACGATCATAACAATCTCCTCGTATACCTACGGGTACATCAAATTATACTTTGTCATAAACATCGTAGAGTGCTCCTTTTTACAAATCCCAAGAACCCCCCAAACCTCTTTAACATTACACCACTAAAACCCAAAGTGATCTCTTGCGTGCACCTGCAAAGCATTGAAGATTTGACGCGTAGTGTTCATAGCTTTGTTATATTTCCAGAATTGTTTTTTATGTTTTTCATATCCAGAAACCAGTACTACTAAAGTGACTCAGGTGAGTCAAGCTACGTGGTCCGATGACACAATGCCGCCTGAGCATCCAATATGTGATGTCGTAGCCCGATATAGTGAACCCTCGTATCAACCATAAATGGTTTGTACTGGTATCACCACCGCAACCCCAAAACAAAATAAATGATCTTTATAACATCAAATGGTTTTGTTTTCTTGTGGTCAAGGATGAACACAAGTAGATTTGCAATGCATCGGTGTAAAACAAATATGGTAGTGTGATCATCAACCAAATAAACACGAACGAAAGAATGAGATCCCTGAGTAACTACACAAGCAACTTCTACACAAGAAGTTGAGAATAGGTTGCCTTGGGACCCACTATCCATAAAAGCTCGACACTTTCAGTACCACTAGTAAGGGAAAATGACAAAAATAACGAGCTTGGGACTTGAGCTCAAGTATCCGATTTGATTTTTGGCTAAGGTGATCAGGTTGTGACATTCCCTTGTCCCATGCCACATGTTCCATTCTCGCAGCATCATCACAATGAATACATTACGGCCCCTTATCCCATTCTTAGGACGTACATATCATTCGATGTAATGGATGTAGTCAGATGCAACCTCAAGACTTTAGTTGAGTCGCTGCCACTTCCTTAAAAGAAATCAACATAGAACACAAGACGATAAGAAAAGAAAAAACAACAGAGATCTCAACCTCACCCCAAGCCAAGGCTAATTTAAGCCCTCATAATTTCACAAAACAAAGAAATGAGTTGATCCACAACCTTGTAGGGTTAACAGCTGTCCGGTCAAGGTCACCCCCAGACGGTAGGGTGGCGATCCTAAGTGGTAAACATTGAGGTAGGATAGTGGGAGTAGAGGTGCACTGGGGAGAAATACAAGAGTGATAGGTGGGGAGGGAGTCCCATAGGAATAGGGGGACTCAGCCATATGGCCGAGAGCCGAAGGCGACTCCCATATGTCCTGAATCCAGCCTCTACAACAACCTGGTTTTTTCTACTAAAAAATAAACAAGAAAATAGGAGGTCCATGGGCTTTGTTCCTTGCATAGCACATCTTCACTTTTCCTTAGGAATTGCCTACAAAAGAAAGGCCAAAAGGGAAACCCCTGGGGCTGTCCCCTATCGCCTACAAAAGAAAGGCTAAAATGGAACCCTGTGGGGCTGTCCCCTGTGCTAGACTGATTAAGTCTAGTCAATGCATGGATGATAGACTTCGACCTCAGGTACAGTGTAGGGGCGATTTTAGGTTCTCCGGAGCCAACCACCACCTTTGAGGACAATATCTTCAAATTGTGGATGCGAGCGGTGGTCTTCCTCTATGGAGGAGGCGCTGTGTTTTTGAGATGGAGGGAGTGCGACTAGATGGATCAATCCTGGTCGAGGAAAATAGGCTGCTAATGCAAGCCGAAATCGCTATTCAATGGGAGAGGGTGAAGGGAAAACTTACATCCCTACAAGCAGAAATCAAGAAATTATTCGTCAAGGCTGCAGGGGGCTTTGGGGAGTCCCATTGCAAAAGTTTTATGGGAGGGAGGGGAGGGAAGGGAGGGGGAGGGGGAAATCGTGGGCCATGTGCGCAGAAACTATCATCTCAGCTTTCAGGATTGCACCAAAGTGGACCGGGTGTGCTGTTGTGCCCTGCATCAGACTTTCCAGACCTTTTCCCACCACAGGCTCTAGCCATGGTGGGTGAGCAGTGATACGGGGGAGGGAACTCTCAGGCAGGATCAGATGGTCAGTATAAATGTCGGTTGGGTCAATCATCAAGGAACAAGTTGAAAGGAAAGGATTCCTGTCCAAACGTATGGTCTTCAGCTGGCTCACGTTGGTAAGTCCAGCGTCGCAGAAGGGTGTTACATGTTGCGCCTACAAAGAAGGGCCATTTTCAGGGCCCGTGTCGTTTCAGTCTGAAAGCCTGAAAACAAGGGCCTACAGGCCCTGTGCCGTTTCAGCCTAAAACAGGGCCCTCCACGCCCTGCTCTTTTCAGCCTGAAACGGAGGGCCATTTTCAGGCCCTCATAAGATCGACATGCCCTGGAACTTAGGCACCAGACCAGGGTTTTAGCACAGGCCATTTTGGGCCTGTTTTCAAGACAACCTTTGTTTGAGCTTCAACGCCTGGGTCTGGCACGTTTGGCATTGGCAAGAGCAGCCTCCGGAACGGGCCAGCACTACATAAGACTGGCCCGCCCTGCAGGCTGCAGGTCGTTCATAGGGACTTCCCAGGCACTCCACATGCAGGAGGCAGGAGGCAGTCTTCAGGATTCGGCAGCAGCACTCTGGAGGAGCGCTGCAGTAG